AGCAGATTGCCGTATCTTTCTCCTGTGGAGCGGCTGGTGGGTTCAAAAACTGCTCAGCTTTCAGTTAGCAGCCAAGGGCTGAACCATTGCACCACTAGGGCTCCTTGGTCAACTAATAGTAGGGAGGTGGGAAACAGTTCCCATAGTAGCTGATTCTGCATGTTGTCATCGTCAGACTCCTGACTGACGGTGCCCCCACGCTGCTTGGTCCTGCAGTATCCTGTGATCAGCTCGTGATTGGACCGTTGTGATCCATAGAGTTTTCATTGGCTGTTTTTCAGAACTAGATCACCAGGCCTTTCTTCCTAGTCTTAGTCCACTGAAACCTACTGAGCATTGTAATACCACACAAACTGTGACCCATAGACATGGGGGTTGGCTGCGCGTGAGGTGCGTTGGGCTGGAACTGGATCCAGGCCCCCTGCATGGAAAGCGAGAACTCAGTTGAAACCACTAAGAGGAAGACCCCTCAGCGGGGGTGTACGGGCTGTCTTAGAGAGTTTTTGAGATTGTTGCCAACAGAATGAGTGAGATTACGGAGTCTGCAGATGTTTGAATGAGTCCTACCAAGTGTTCACTGAGTGTTTTCTGTGGTAGGTGGCGTGCTGAGTGCTTTCCGTGTATGCCTCATGTATTCTTAGCACTAAACCTGTAAAGTGGTGACTTGCCTTCACACAGGATTAGGCGACTTGTCGAATGCCTTACAGCAGACAGTAGAGCTAATCCAAGGAACTGGACTTGCAAACGCATGCTCCTAACTTCTGCCCTGTGTTCTTTCAGTATTTAGTAATTGACGTTGATAATGATGAAGTTTTTATGATTATATATGTTTTCCATTTTATCATTATCATATATAGTATATATCATTGCTGTTGTTGGTTGCCTTCAGGTCAGTCCTGACTCATGTGTAGACTGGAACTGCTCTGTAGGATCTCAAGGCTGTGACCTTTTGGTTGCAGCCAGGCCTGTCTTCCGAGGTGCCTCTGAGTGGGTTTGTACCGCCAACCTTTTGGCTAGTAGTGGAGTGCTCAACCACTTGTGCCATCCAGAGACCCTCCATGTCATGATTACACTTACTGGTGTTGCTATTGGGAAACAAGTCCTACAAGGTAAAATGCTGCTACCAGTAAGCACTGAAGTGCTCACTTGGAATTCGGGACTTGATGTTCTCTGTCCAACCCTCTTGCCATTCCAGCATGTTCTTGCTGAATGCGCCTCATTTTTCTCTTAATAAACACTCTACTATTTTGGTAGCCTTCTCCAGGGCTCCCTGAATGGGGATGGTTGGTACCTGTGAGAAGAGGGCCCAGCCTGCGGGTTCTTCCTCCTGTGGAAGTGAGAGAGGGGGGTACCTTGGGGCTAAGATTAGGTGGACAGGGTCTCTGAATGTCCTGAGTCTTCAAGAAGTGTCTTACAATAGTTTATGAATCAGAAAGTGACAGAATGGCTATACGAGGCTGTGATTGTTTGAAGTGTTATGCTCTTAAGGGTGCTGACCGCTGTCATTTGGGCAGGACTTTCAACTATCCATTCAGGAACCCTGGTCTCGGCCCTTATCTCTTAATTACTTGGATATAGATATGGAAGTGCTCTTCATACCTAGACTTGACCAGAAAATGGTACATACATTGGGTGTTATCGTTGATGTGGGTTCTGATGCATTGGCAGCCTCACGCGTGTCAGAATACATGTGTTGGGTGTTGTCCTTGGTGTCGGTTCCGACACATTGGCAACCCCACACGTCAGAATGCAACCATGTCCCACAGGGTTTTTCAATGGCTGAATTTTTGGAGGAAGGTCACTAAGCTTTTTTTCCATGGCACTGCTGGGTGGGTTCGAACCACCAACCTTTTGTTCAGCAACCAAGCACTTAACTGTTTGTGCCACCCAGGAACTGTGAGATCTGCAAAATCTCATTTAATATGAGTTAATACACAGTTCTGCTCTTGGGTTGAAGGAAACCCCCAGGGCACAAACACCGATGGTGGCCACGTGGCTTAGCAGTGTGGTAACGGAGACTGGGCACGGGTGGTGGTGGACAGTAGCTCAGGTGTGGCTGGGTAGGGACGTCCACCAAGAGCCGCTCGGGCAGGATTCCTGCCCTGCTGCAGCTCAGTGTCCTATGGAAGAAAATTGCCACTTAGAGCAGTAACTCTGGAGACCTGTACTCGGGCCAAGGAGGCCTCGATCGCACAAATGCAGAACTGATGGATGTGACCTAGCAGCGTGTGTGAAACAGATGGCAAGGCTGGGCTGGGCTGCAAATTCACGGTGCTGTTGTTGCCAGAACCTCTAATTTGATCTTAAATTTTTTTATGTAATGACTTTATTGTTTTCATAAAAATGATACATGATGCTTATTTAAAAAAAAAAAAAAAAAAAATCTAGCCATAGAGGAAAGTACAAAGAAGAAAACACCATTCAGTCTAAATCTCAGCTTCCAGAAAGGACTCATTTTAATATTTGGTAGACACAGTTTCCCAGATAGCTCTGGGCATATTTTCAAGTAGAATTGATAGCTGGAGAAATACGTAAATGGGCAATTTTATAGCAGTATGTTCCTGCTACGTGTGTTATTTTCCAAACAAAAAACAATTTCTCACTGTAGCATAAGAGAAGACAGAAGTAATGCTGAAGAAACTGAAGTATGACTGAACTTCATTCAGTTCACTGGTTCTTCACCAAAAGAAATTAGTGTCTGACATCCCTCAGGCAGGGGTTTTCAACCAGGGGCAGTTTTTACCCCCCAGCGCTGATGGTGCAACGATTAACATTTGCTGCTAACTGAAAGGTTGGGAGTTTGAATCTACTCCGAGGTTCTGCGAGAGAAAGGCCCCGTGATCTGCTCCTGTGAAGATGACAACCAGGAAAACCCTTTGGGGCAGTTGGCTCTGACACGTGGGGTCCCTATGAGTCAACACTGACTGGACAGCCCCTAACCACAGAGGACAGTTAGCAGTGTCTGGAGACGTTTTTGGTTGTCAGAACGGGGGAGGATATATCTCGTTATTTTGTTGGTGGTGCCATTAAGTACCTTCTGACTCATGGCGACCCCATGAGGTATTACTGGCGTGGAGTGAGTAGAGGCCAAGGCTGCTGTTGAATGTCCTACAATGCACAGCAGAGTCCCCTGTAACAAACAACTGTCCTGCCCCAAATGTCAGTAGTGCTGAGGATGAGAAAGTGTGCTTGGAGGTTAGGGAAAAGATCGTTCAAGTCATCACGAGGATGAGTTTGAAATCATTATTTTTTAGCTCTGTTGCAGTTTTAGGCAATTTTGATTGGGTTTCTATAATGAGGGATGAGATGATTATTATAATTCTTCCCTCCTGCCCTTAACAACAAAATCAAGAGGTGGCATGTATTATTTTCCCTTTGTTGAGGTTTATAACATTTACATTCTGTTCTGCCTCCTTGCCCCCCAAACGTTTAGTCTTGGTTTCATATTTAAATGATTCAGTGCCAAACCCATTAACCCATTTCCTTCTAGTTGATTGTGACTCAAAGTGACCCTCTAGGGCAGAGTAGAACTAACTGCCCCACAGGGTTTCTAAGGTTGTAATCTTTACAGAAGCAGACTGCCTTATCTTTCTCTAGCAGAGTAGCTGGTGGGTTTGAACCACCAGCCTTGCTATTAGCTGCTTAACCGTTGCCAAACACCATTTCTGTCCATGGATTCCCCTTCTCTGGGTTTATTTTGAGTCAACATTTGGTTGGTTAGTTACTTGATCTTAATGCAAGTTTAATATGTGTGGGAAGGGGGCTGTCAGACTCCACCCTGGTTTAGCCTGGTCAGATTCTTACCTGCAGTTTAGAGTTTGTGTCTGAGCATCATACTTAGAAGAACAGCGAGACACAGTATCTCTGGGTCTCTGTAGGACGTGAAACCGTGTCCCATGTAGAAATGGAATTGAAAGTCAGTGGATGGAAGAGGGAAAACTGGAGAAATGAGTTAACAATCCTTGTGCCATTGTTAGCTGCTGTCAGGTCAGTCCGCGATTCATGACGACCCTGTCCCCAGCAGAACAAAACGCTGCCTGGGCCTGCGTCATCCCCACGATGGCTTGCAGATCAGACCATGTGGTCCGCAGGATTTTCAGAAGTGGATAGCCAGGCCTTCCTTCCTAGTCCGTCTCAGTCGGAAGCTCAGCGGAAACCTGTTCAGCATCATATTGACGAACAGGCCTGAGTGACAGGTGGTCGTGGCTTCTCCTGAGGTACATTGGCCAAGAATGGAACCCAGGGGACCTGTTGGGAAGATGAGCGTTCTGCCACGGAACCACCAGTGTCCCACTTATTCTTAGTTCTTTGAAAAGCCTTCCACGTGGAAGCAGGATTGGTTGTGCTCTGAGGGCCCTCAGAAGGTTAGAACTGGGATCATACGGACGTAAAGGGCAGGGTGGCTGTTACAGGCTGCAGTGGGATGGCCTCCCTGTTAGCTGAAGGGTGCAGGCAGCCTGGAGAACCACCTGTGGCCGTATTGTATGTAGATGTTGGCTCAAGGCATCAGCGGAGTGGCTATATTTGGGTGACGTTCCAAGCCTGAGATTATGATATTCTAATAATGCTTCCTGACAGCCACCAGTCTTGGGGACGAACACCAGTCACTGCTGTTTGGGATAAGAATGAGAACAGCCAGACTGTGTGGCATTAGCAGCTGGATCGGGGCAGAGCCTTAAATATTCTGAACCCCATGTGTTTGGACCCCCCATCTGCTGAGTGAAAAGGTGCTACAGCAATGTGTTACGTGTTGGATTCGGCTGAACTGGTTTCCAGTTGTTGTCTGTAGAATTTGCAGAATTACACAGATGGAGTACATTCTAAACACGATCCCAGAGCCAATAAATTTATATATAATCTGGGCAGTGTATCATAGATGCTGCAAAGGGAACTAGTCCTACAGAGATCGTTCCTTGTGTAATTGGAATTGGGTGTTCTGTGAATGCCTTAATCAGATGTCTGTCATAGTGTGGCTTATGGATGGCTTTGTTTTGTTGCAGGGGAGCTACCCAGTTTGGGAAGATTTCATAAACAAAGCAGGAAAACTACAGTCCCAGCTCCGGTAAGTAAAAGCTTATTGTGTATAGAAAAAAAGCAATATTCTTAAACAGAGGATGAAGTAGGACAGACCCAAGGTAAGGTGCAAGATTGGGCTAATTGTGCAAGTGTTATGGATATAGAAGGATGTAGTGGGTTCTACTTTGGCATCACCACTTACTAGCAATATGTCCTAGCCTCTGATAACCATCTGTAAAACTGGACTCATATCTACTCTGCCTCCGTCCATAGGAATTTTGAGAGTCAAATGAGGTAATGATGGTCAGCATTGATGTAGCATCACTGTGTACTAGACATATGTTAATTTATTTAAATCTTAACAACCCCATGAGGTAAGTCCAGTTAGTATCCCGTTTTGTTGATCAGGAAACTGAGGTACAGATAAGCTAAATTACTTATTCAAAGTCTCACAGCTAATAAGTGGCAGAGCAGGGATTTGAACTCAGGAGCCTGACTCTGGATTCCATGTTCTTACCCATTCTGTTTACTGTCTCTCAGTATAAAGAGTTTAAAATCTAGTGCCGACTGTTGTCTGATTTCACTTATATGAAAATGCCTAGAAAAGGCAAACCTATAGAGCAGATGGAGATTAGTGGTTGCCTAGGGATAGGAATAGAAGGAGGGATAGACCACAAATGGGCATGAGGGATCTTTTTAGGGGTGATCAGAATGGGCTGACAAATTGGCTTGTGGTCATGATTTTACAGCCCTGTACATTTACTGAGAATCATTGAATCATACACTTAAAATGGGTGACTTTTATGGTGTGCAGATTTTACCTCAACAAAAGCTATTAAATAAGAACAAATCAGACATAGTGCTGCTGATCTACAGGGAAGTTATTCTTTATTATTATTATTATTATTATTATTGTGATTTGGGTGGAAATTTACAGAGCAAATTCACTTTCCATACAACAGTTCACGCACACATTGCTCATGACATTAACTACAATTTATCTCAGTGCAACAGCTCCCCTCCCACTTGCTCCCGATAGTTACCTCTTCCCTGTGTCTACCCTTCCATGCACTCCTGCCCCCTGAGCTGTCTCCCTGTGCAAATGGCAGTTATTCTTGCCCTGTGTCTACCCTTCCATGCACTCCTGCCCCCTGAGCTGTCTCCCTGTGCAAAGGGCAGTTACTCTTGCCCTGTGTCCATCCCTCCATGCACTCCTGCCCCCTGAGCTGTCTCCCTGTGCACAGGGCAGTTACTCTTGCCCTGTGTC